ACGTATCTGAATTGAAGGGAAAGTAATAACATATTTACATGTATAGTCTAAATGTTCAAACATTGTTTATATATGTTGATTATATAGTTTACTATTGCTTTATTGGCTGCACGAATTTGCTTTTACAAATGTCCTTGAGTTAAAATTGTATGAAGACGAAAGCAGATCTAAAACCTCGTCGATGTCAGGTTTTTAGCCTTTAGAGTTTAGGACGAAACGCGCTACAGCTAAAATAAATACATGAAAGCTGCGAATCGAAAGAGTCTGGCCAAGATAGCAACAAGAAACACCGGAGAGTAATATTTTTCGCATCATTTTTAGATCTTCGTTTTAGAAAAGACTAGTTTTACATCTCTTTAAATTGCATAAAATTACGACATATTTTGACTGACTTTGAATGGCTTTCTTGTTTTCATAACACCGGAAGTTACAAAAAATCAGAACAATATTTATTACCAATTACACCAATTTTACGAAAGACAAAACGATATATTCTTTATATTTCTAGAGTAGTGAAGCACTTACCTGAAAATATAGCAGATTTGAACGGCTTTTCAGCTGATTTTCTCAAAAGTTTTAACTTTTTTGCTATTTTGTAAACGCCATATACAGCTGACGCGTACGCGACAACGTCATTTTTTGCATTGCGTAGGTTTTGAGCGCTTTTCATCGAAAAGACGCGACATAGAAAAAATTCTCCTCTTAATAATTTACTCTTATATGGATGTTATAACTCGAAACCGTACAAATTCGACGTATTAAAAAGCATTACTAGCCATTTCTTTGGTACTCCAGTTACGTACGCTACAGCAAAATTAGTACAAGGTAAATAATTAATGATTAAAGTAATGTATTTAATATTGGCTGAACTATCGAAATTGTTTCTAAGTGTTTTCAGCTAGTTCTGACCAAATGCTATTATAAAAATGCTACCAACATTGAAAACTCACTTTTGAATTTAAGTTAGTATCATTACATTTAATGGCCTTTGTCAAACAAAGAAATTGGCGTTAAAAGAAATTGTGTAATGCGTTGACGTAACAAATGAAAGATCCGTTTTCTTGTCTTATATTGGCTTTAAAGTTGCCACGAAAAAGAGTATGCATAGTATTAAATTCAAAATTCTTGTATCATCAGTTGTTTTTGTCTAAAAGAGAAGAAATAACATCGATGTTCTGACATAATTAACGATATTTTCCATTTATAGTGGCAAAATAGACGATCTTGATATACAATTCCCAGGAATTTGAACATTTAGGCCTATACTGTATATACATTCTAAGATCGTCTTTCATAAAATCCGTATATAGTGAATATATAATGAATATATGATATGAGAATGCAATTGTTGTATTTAAATTAAAATATACTTAATCGATCATTTGATTTAAACGTGGAAAACCGCCTGTATTAATATATATGAAGGTATACCCAAAGGAAGTTTTGAACCTAGATGTGAGTAAGCTGTTTAAGTCAAGCATTTCGATTCTGTTTAATGTGTAATACATCTGTCTATATATTGCTCAATCTTTTTATCAATTTGATTGCCCTTCTGAACTTTATAGAATAACAATCATTATAATAAAATTTATTGACCATTTTATCGATCTATTTGTGTGAATAATGAATAGACAAGCACATAATGTCATACAGTTAATTATATTGATAACCGTTATATATATATAGATACAATTAATGAGCAAGTAAACACAGGTTACGTGTTTAGTATCAACAACATTTGTTTTTTGACAAAATGGTCAGCAAAGCGCTGAACAATGCATGGAACTTACGCTTATTTTAACAAAATTAGATTTCTTTCCAATTTTAGATCAACATTCAAGGAAAGTAGAGAAGTATGTCAACATTCATGATCCGTTGAAAAGAAAGATACTTCGACACCCACTGACAATCAACAGTAAAAATACTCAGCTTCTAAAAATGGAAATGAACTCTAGCCTACTATTTATCATATACGCCTTGGTACTAATAAATTACGAGCTATCCGTAGCAGGCATGGCTGGGATGAACGGCGAAACAATGTGTTCAGACTCAGGTACTGTATATATGTCGGACAGTTTTGAGGATATGCTATAGCTTATTCACAAAGTTGACCTTATAAGTATTCAGACTGTATTAATTGTGTAAGCTTCCGCAGATACAAAAACGTGTTTACGGCCTTAATTATATTTGTAATTCAAAATAAAGTACATATATGGTTAGTCACAAAAGTGTTACATGTATATTTTCCATTTTGAATGCAAAAATCAATAATATATCAGTATAATGCATGTTAATTTAATGATAATAAATATTATATGCATGAAATGAACACGAAACCTCTTCAAAAGGAGGCTCCATTATGTATCATTGACCGAGAACTAAAACCTCTTTTTAAAGGATTATAAGCTGAGAGAATTCCGATTTTGCATAAGTCTTTCAATCCCTGTGTATGAAAGAATAATTTTAGCACAAACTCATCATTCTTAGCGTTACCATGACCACATTCAGCATCGGAAAATGAAGGTCGTGACCTAAACTTTTTACAGCAAGTATAGATCAATATTGTGTTAGTTTTAATTTTCTTAGAAGTTCTAGAAATTCTCCAGTGTTTTTCTTGTTCAAAACCTAAAAATTAACTTCCGAAATTACACTAGAGTTTTTTTTCAATTTTAAATATTTACTGTAATTGAATTAGTATAATAAGTAAACTACAAATTCAAACTTTGAGATTAGAAACAAAAGAGGTAATGCTATTTTCATGATCAGTTTTTTTAAATAAATAAAATCTTTTTTCACACGTGGGGCCTTGCATTCCATGCTGGACAACAATGAGCTAGTAGCTTGAAAGCACACGAGTTATTGTCTTTACAGCTTGAAGAAATATTTTTGTTTGAAATAAAGATTTGCTAATGAAATGGAAAATCTATCTAGCGCAGTCAAATTGAAGCATTTTTGCTCTAATGTATTTCAAGCTTTAAGTGTACTGCTAATAAGTTAATAACAATCTGTTCCAAACCACAAGGATGAAACGGTTTCCTGAGACAAGTGTAGTTTCATGTCATTAGTATACTGTATTTTAGTGAGAAACCACCAATAAAACTAATAATAAAATACCAGATGATTAAAATGTTAAACTACACTAGAAGGGCTATACAGACATGTATCACTATAAAAGTGTAATAGCTACTACTACGTTCATTACAATGACCATATTTAATTGAAGACTTGTGCCATTTCAAAACGTCAAGTTTTGGCTCGCTGCCTGTTAGTAATATTTATTTGTCATTCGGCAATCTATTTTATCACCAGTTGAAGAATTTGAAAATCATCAGCTGCAAAACCTTATTAGAGCTAATATAAAGTTTAAAGAACTGCATCTTTAGTCGAATTATACTGATAATTATCCAGACATCATTTCTCTCCCCGGCGATTCTCTTGGAAAGAAAGATCCAGATAGCAGTTTCTTTTAAATCTTTCCAGATAGTTCAGATTAATTATTTATGTGCGACTGTGACCAAATTTTCATTTCTGTTTTTTTTTCACATGATTGTGAAGAATATATGCGTAATAAAGAAGCCGTCATGCAAAATTTTAGCGTGATATCTCATAATTGGCCTGAGTTATACGACGAAGTTCGAAACGAGCTCGTGCTGATAAACAAAATCTGAGCCCCTCCACTCCTTCAGAGTTGCAAATCCCGTTTCGCGGTGTTGTAAAGCCATAATACTCCAAATTCTTAGCTCAAAATTCTTCTTGTATGCTTCTATCTTTGTGATTGTAAAATTGGCCCGGTCGGAAACGTAGTCAAGGCAAAAAACGCGAAAAACTATCATCTTTAATACAAATCTATACAAAAGTGGGGGCCCAGAATCGGGTGGCGGCCGGTGACTTCCGGCTTCACTTTTGTATACTATAGATGCGTTATCCAGTCTTATTTCAGATCAGTGGGGTGAAGGCTATTTCAGATACCGTAGAGCACCTAGTCCCCAGGTCTTTATCGGCGCGGCCGTGAAATTCAATATGGCGCCAAGCTAAGGAGTGGAGTTTATTCATAGGGTTTCTACTCTATATTTTTTACTGTTGTTTTTTGACGTTTTCCTTCTTTTTTGTTGGTAGAACTTTGGTAGAACTTATATTGTGAAATGTCAGGTATCTCAGTAAAGCCTGGCGCACACGATGCGATTTTTGTCGGCCGATAAAAATCGTTTGACTAAAACTAACAAAATCGTTGTGTGTGCGTTGTCATTTTTAACCGATTTGTGTTGCTCGATTTTAATCGGACAACATCAAAACGTTTTGATATTATACGGTTTTTATCGGTGGAATTTTAAGTATAACCAATCAGATTTCATGCTGTGATCACGTGCTTGTATTTAATTGGCAACATGGCGACTACAGTTCAGGGAGCATATTTTTTTCGTAATCGTTTGCGGAGTATACCGTTGTATATCGGTATGTCAAACGATTTTTATCGAATTATCGGCCGACTAAAATCGCATTGTGTGCGCCAGGCTTAAGACCATGTAACACGGTGCAATTTTTCTTGCAATTTGCAATGCAATTCTACTGTTGAGCGATGTTAAAACATCAGCGGAGTGTAATGAAGACTCGTATTTGGCGATTTTACGTCTCTCAAGAGTAGAATTGCATTGCGAGTTGCAAGAAAAATTGCACCGTGTAACATGGCCTTTACTCTTTATCTGAAAAAAGATTCTCTAACAGAATTTTTTTCAAACATAATTTAACATAGTTTAATAAAATTGATATATACTTTAATATCTGTACGGATACTGTGCGAGTGATGGTTGTGACTGAGTTGTTCATTTAACAATGAAATCGATTTATACTATTTTATTCAAGTTGACAAAGCACATCCCCTGGCTCTTGCCGGGCACAGCCCTTACGATTTATGCCACTGAGGAGTGAACCTCTGACAATTACTCCAACCATGCACAGGCTATAAACAAATTGATGATTTAGCTTGCTGCAATACTTTCTATTTACTTGAGCATAAAATATGGCAATGTCACACATAACGCAAGGTCATCGCCTTGAGCCCGCCCCCCCAATAATTTCCATTCGTATAAGCAAAACACTTTTCATGGTCCCTTGTTGGCCAAGAGTGTGCACCTCTGTCAACCCCCCTATAAACCCACCATGATTGCTTTAGTGCTAATTAAACAATACAATCTTGAATGGTCTATGCCAGGCTAGATAGATAGATACTAGCCTGATAACAGACCTACGCTTCACCCGCCCTAAAATTCGTCGACGGAAAGGACGAAACGTAGGTCTGATGAAAATGTTGTCAAAAGCGCCTTCCGCCCACTTTGACTTTTGCAATATTTAACGATGATGATTGACACATTTACATGTAACACCTAAAAATACAATGAAAGTTGCCGATTTCACTTTATTGCAAGTTTGTAAACTAATATTAAAGAGTCGATAAGTACAGATATTCGAATAAATATTTAAAATATAGGTAACTCCATGGAGCCCGTTGCTTTTATATACTTAAACCTTTGTAAACAAACAGTTTAATACATGCAGCTAGTAATTATACAACATTTTCAAATCTGCCCAACGCAAATTTGATTTGGCAATGGCCAATGTGCCGTTGTTGAATTGCATCCCAACTCTTACAATTTATACATTTTGAAATCGCCATACAATGGTAAAATCTAAATAAAATATTTTGTACGTGATATGTTATCAAAATGTAAATCATGAATGCGCACATATTTGTATCCGAGTTTTACTAGTATTATGATTAATCAGAAAACTTAGATCGTGTATAAAAAAATATATATTGTGTTGTTTATTACAACGAAAATATTGAATTGAATTGATTTAATAACTACTGACTTTGTAACCCAAAAAGGTTAAATTACACCAGTGTTACATAAATTAAGAGGATAAGTTAAAATTACATAATAATTACATATTTAAGATTATTTACATTTCTAAAAACTTATTTACTGTTAATCTTTAATATACTTTGAGGTAAAAACGAATTCTTAAAACGTTCGGTTCTGCAAACATAATTA